AGAGCACAGGGGGGCAAGACAACATCTGTGGGCCGGATCTGGCCTGCCACACTGATTGATCCGGCCCGCAGCTGCCCTGTTGCTCCTTTGCCCCTCAGGCCACCGAAGACCTGGGGATGGGGGAGTGCACGAAGTCTCCTCCACTTGCTAGGGGGGCACAGCACCAGAAGGAACTGCCAGATGTTCAAAAGGGTGCCACACATCTGGCAGGGTGGGAGGCAAACACTTCACGTGCACCCTAACCCCAGGTCAATCGAATCTGTGGGTAGGGAAGCACTGAAGTCTCCTGGCCCCGCCCCTTCCACTCCAAGCCCCACCCCTTCCAGGCATCCTGGGGCCACTTTAGAAATGTGTGAAGTGCCCCCCTTCAAATTTATTGCCCACCCCTAACCTAGATAGAAAGGGGTATCCTGTTTAGCCCTGCACCTAGACCCCAAATGGCCTTCCTTGCAGATGTGTGCCCCTCGTCACTGCACAGCTGGGGAGAACCTTTCGGGAAATGATTCCTTCATCCCCTTTGTCACCAATGCCTTGAGCAGACACGAAGACTCACCATCACCGGGGGGTTTAGGGTTTCACTTTTGAAGAGAAAGCATGAATTGTGCTGACAGTCAGTTAATCTTTGTTCCATATTTATAAATGATCAGGGCTGATACTTATAACAAGTCCCCTCGATATTCTATCTATTCTAGCAGGATGTTTCAGGGAAGCATAAATTAGATTTATTCCCCCACTCAAAAAGCCAAAGTTACAAAAAGCCCTGTAAAATGGGTCCAATAGCATTTCCCAGCTTCACACGTATTGAAAGGGCAAATGGATTGAAGATCATGAGCCTTTGTGATGTCACCATAATGGGGAGCCTAGAAATAACGAAGGAAGCTAAGTAGACTCCAATTTCATTGCCACTGTAGTGAAACACAAAACGCTTTGTTGCTCACTGGAAAGCGACTGTTTAGCAATGAAAAGATTAGAGCTATTAGTTTAATTTACTTTTGTTTTAATTGTCTAGAGGAAATTATTTTGCGCTAACAGATTAATTTATTTTCACTCGAGGCTGGTTGTGATAATTCACACAAGCTCTGAGTATTAAAACACTGATGCTGTGAATAAGATAATCAGACTTATTAAGAGGAGGGAAATAAACAATTACAAAGAGTGAAATTGGGAATGAAAGGAAATATTTGGAAACTTGCAGCAAATGCACAAAGGCACTTTTGACGCAGCTGGTTTGAAAGATACCGTTGTTGCTCTAAGACGTTCAGCAGCCAGCTGTCAGAGTGGATTCCCCTGGTGGTATACTTCTCGGGGGTATCAAGCAATAGAGCTAATTTTGGGGACCCGCTTAGCTAGGAACCTGCTTGTCTCCCTAAGACATTCTGCCACCTGATCTCCATGGGTGCCCTTCACGTTATATGGGGCTCAGGGGCTATGTCTACACTGGCGGGTTCTTGCGCAAAATCATCTTGCACAAGGGTTCTTATGCAAGAACTCTTGTGCAAGAACATGTCCATCCTGCCATGGGCTTTCGCACAAGAGCGTCCATGGCGGTGGGGATGCTCTTTTGCACAAGAAAGCTCTGAGGGCCATTTTAGCCATAGGGCTTCCTTGCACAAGAAACCCCTGCTGTGCGTCCACACTGCCTTCCTGCGTAAGAGCTCCTGCGCAAGAGGGCTTACACCTAAGAACATAAGAACGGCAGTACTGGGTCAGACCAAAGGTCCTTCTAGCCCAGTATCCTGTCTGCCAACAGTGGCCATCACCAGGTGCCCCAGAGCGGGTGGACCCAAGACAATGATCAAGCGATTTGTCTCCTGCCATCTCTCTCCAGCCTCTGACAAACAGAGGCCAAGGACACCATTTTATCCCCTTGCTAATAGCCTTTTATGGACCTACCCTCCATGAAATTATCTAGCTTCTCTTTAAACTCTATTATAGTCCTAGCCTTCACAGCCTCCTCTGGCAAGGAGTTCCACAGGTTGACTACACCTGTTAGAAAAGAGCATAGCTCTTGCGCAAGAAGCCCTCTCTTCCCACGCCGTACTGTAAATCTTCTTGCACAAGAGCGGGTGGGCAGTGTGGATGCAAAACCCCGCCAGTGTAGACGTAGCCCAAGAGTCCCCGTCACTCCCCACTTTCACTAGAGGGTAGGAAGTTATCTTCTGAGGGCCTGGTGAAAGGCAGTATTTTACCTTCTGTCATTACGACTGTGCCCATTTCCATCCTGGGTGGAGCATCTGGAGTGAAGTTCTTTCAGTCTCACTAAGGTATGGGCTAGTATGGCCATACAGGGGGCATAGGAAGGGACCTTACTCCCTGGCACAGCTGCATTATGGGTAATCAATCTACCGCTAGACTCTTTTTGTGCTTTACAAAACTTCTCAGTGAATTCCCATTCTTGCTGCAGCGCCTTAGAGCAAAATTTGGGGCAGCAGCAGCAGGTCCTCACTTGTACAGCAGGCCCCTGAAGAAAGGAGGCAAGACTTTTTCCTTCACGGCCCCACTACATATGGGTGACAAGGCATACTCTGCTGTGGCACAGATACAGGTAACACAGCCGCTGCAGACATGTAGAAGGCAAATCCTCTGCCCCGTAAAGCTTGCAGTCTTAACTGCAGGGCTGAAGCCAGCCGCCTGCGTCCCGCTGCCACCTGCAGTGTTCCCAGGAGAGACGTGCCATTCAGCTCACGGGAGAACAGCTTGGAAGTGGTCACCCCTGACGTCCCATTGATTGGCATGGCGCTTCTCTTACGGTGCTAACGAGCCGGCCCTAGTGCCAGTTCTCGCCTCCCACCGAGTTCAAATGAACATCTTGTTTCCTCGGAGGCATTAGCTCTCCGGATGCATCCCCATTACCGACAGCGGCAGTTCCTGGAACTCCAGAGATAACGATGAAAGGAAAGCAAATGAAGGGTGAAATGGGAAATGCCAGAATATGCACTGGATGCATTATTAGTCTTGTGTTAGTTAGCAGTGGCAGCACACTCCGCTCTCTTCAAAATACAGAGGAAGACATAGTCCACGGGCCACGCGCTTTCAAAGCAGAGCAGTGAGGACAACTCATGAGACTCCTATCTCTAAATGTATGAACAAGTGCTGGCTTAGTAGGTGGGTATGTGATCTGGGCGAAAGAGAGGTAGGTTCAAATTCCAGCTGCCCTCTTCCCCCCAGAAAAGCACCATTATGTATGACCTCAGGCAAGTGTGTCATCTTTCTGTGCATGAATACCCCCTCTGTGAAATGGGGAAAAAACATTCCCTGTTTGATAAGGTCATTAGCTTTTCAGGGCAGGGATGGTTTCTCATTATGAGTCTGTGCAGAAAATTCCAGGATGACCCAAAGCCTCAGTAGGGGTACATCTAGACTACATGGCTCCATTGACGGAGCCATGTAGATTTGTTTGTTCGGCAAAGGGAAATGAAGCCGCGATTTAAATAATCGCGGCTTCATTTAAATTTAAATGGCTGCCCTGCTCTACCGATCAGCTGTTTGTCGGCAGATTGGGGCAGTCTGGACGCTCCCCTGTCGACATGAAAGCCCTTTATCGATCTCCCCGGTAAACCTCATCCTACGAGGCATAACGGGGAGGTCGATAAAGGGCTTTCAGGTCGGCGCGGGAGCGTCCAGACTAGCGCGCTGAGCTGACAAACAGCTGATCAGCTGTTTGTCGGCTCAGCGCGGCAGCCATTTAAATTTAAATGAAGTCGCGATTATTTAAATCGTGGCTTCATTTCCCTCTGATCAGCCTAATCTACATGGCTCCATCGAC